TATATATATATATATATATATATATATATATATATATACTCTTTTTTTACCAACACTGGTCATGGTGTTATGATCAAAATCTTTCCATTCTTGATCAAAAGTCTCAAATTCAAACCTTCATAAATTAAAAAAAAAAAGATCTTTCTTGAAACATCGTCCCTAGAAATGAGTCTTGCAATATATGAATCTTAATTAGTTAAATCTCAATGTTGATATCACACGCCAAATAAGAAATAAATAAATTATTTGACATATTTGTTTTTCTTCTAATGTGTTTTGAACCCAGGGGCGGAGCCACCTTGTATTAAGGAGTTCATCAGATTTTTCTTCGATGGAAAATTATATTATTTATACTTAGTTGAAATAAATTTTTTATGTATGTAAAGTATATATCAAATCCCTTTCGGCTACTTCATATTTTATTTCTATATATTTGAACCCCTTGTTAAAAATTCTGACCCCGAGTACACTTATATATAATAGAGGAAGTAGAGATATTATAGCAGATCACTACTCTAAACTATGCAGCAAATAATTCAATTGTGACCATCAACCTCATATCTCTTCTCATTTTTTTTATTGGATATTTACTTTGTGTTCTTGAATTGTTCAACCACTTTTTATTTAAAGTTAGATAAGATTTCTTCTTTCAACTTAAATATCAATATTTTTAAAGGGTATTTTGGTTAAGATTTTCTTCTTTTCTTGTTTTCTTTCCAATTTTTTATTTTTTTTGGGAATGACGATAAAAATGATAGCAATTTTTGGTATTGTGATATTGGCACTAATTTATAAGGCAATTATTCCACCATCACCAAAGATTTGTGGTTCACCAAATGGACCTTTAATTACAGCACCAAGAATTAAGCTTTCTGATGGGAGATATTTGGCTTATAAAGAAAATGGTGTTCCTAGAGATGAAGCAAAACACAAATTTGTATTCATTCATGGCTTTGATTGTGTTAGACATGATGTTGCTTTGCTCACAACTATTTCTCCTGTATGTATCATCTTCACTTTGTTTCCTTTTATCCCCTTTTTTGAATTGTTTTATTGCGTTTTGAAGTCTAACTAGTATTAAGGCTTTTGAACAAAGATAGACTTTATTTTCATAGCTCGAATCCCAAGATGAGGGGGATTCTTTTATATAAGTATTCTTTTTTTATTTTTTGTTGTTTGGGGTCTCACTAATTTGAATTTGTGTTTTAGGAAGTTTCGCTTTTATGGCTTTTCAACAAGTGCAACTCCGTTTTTAGAGCGTGAGTCTAAGATATCTGGTTAACGATGGTGTTGTTTTAAGTATTCTTTTTGGTTTCTCAACTGGTGTCAGACACTCGTTGGAGCCTCAGACTAATCCGAATTCATGATGTATGGAAGTCTCACTTTTTAAGACTTGACTGAACGCGACTCTATTTCTAGAGTTCGAACCCTAGATCTCTGGTTAACAATGGAAGAAATACTATAAAAGATTGTTTTTAGTATTCCTTTTTGGTTCCATCACTTAGTATCCAACACTCATTTTGCAGTTCGACTAATTGATTGTTTTTACTTTTCTTTTTGGTCCCCACTAAGTGTCCAACTCCCATTTTGTAGCTCGAATATTTTGAACAAGATTTCTGATTAAGGATGTAGCAATATTTACCAGTTACCACCACTCGAATGTATTTGTGGATGTAATTAATGAAATTTTATTTATGGTTGCAGGAGGTTATGCAAAGTTTGGGAATCTATATTGTGTCAATTGATAGACCTGGTTATGGTGAAAGTGATCCTCATCCACAAAGAACACCAAAGACCTTAGCTCTTGATATTGAAGAATTAGTTGATCAATTGGAATTGGGACCTAAATTTTATGTTATAGGATTTTCTATGGGTGGACAAGCTGTTTGGGGCCTTCTCAAGTATATTCCTCACAGGTATCGTATCGTTGTTAGTTTCCTCGCACCTCAACTATTTAACAAGGTACCCGTTACCTCCCACCAGCATAGATACAGATGAGAAAGAAGTCATCTTGCATATCGTTTAAGCTCTTTGGATTTAACTTATAGACACTGACGATGCAAATGACTTTTATAGTATTAGTGTGTGTTAATGTATCGTAGTTATCTTTTAGGTGACCTTCGATTCTCAGGTGTGTACAAGCTTCATATTAACTTGTGACATTTGAAATGTGTTAACAGATTGGCTGGAGCAATTCTTCTAACACCAGTGACTAACTACTGGTGGGGTAGTTTCCCAGCAAACTTGACTAAACAAGCGTACTACGAACAGCTCGTGCAGGATCAATGGACGTTGCGGATTGCACACTACTTACCATGGCTGACTTACTGGTGGAACACTCAAAGATTGTTTCCTTCTTCCAGCGTTGCAACGTTCAGTGAGGATATTCTGTTCGAGCAAGACAGAGTTCTAATGCCTATCTTTGATTCGTATCAGAGTAAATATCGGGTGAGTACTCGTTTAGCTATTTAGCATGTCCTTATTTTAGTGGCGGATCTAACAATGTATGAAAAATAAGAACAGATTTATGTGTAATCAGAGTAATGGAATGTCAATATTTTAGGTTAAGCAACGATAGAGTTTAAGTTATATGCATTGTCAGTATAGATGTTTCTATATCACCGGGCAACAATAGACAACTCTTCGTATCAAGTTTGATATGGCCATATATAAAGATAGTGGAAAAATTCATTTACACTGTCAGTGTATATAACTTGATTCCATAATGATACGTGTGGATTCTGTTCTTTTAACATTTCCGAACTCTGAGTTCTGTTTTGTTTTTCTGAATTTGAGGTTAGGACTTGGTAAGACAGCAAGGGGAGTACGAGTCCATCCATCGCGACATAATGATAGGGTTCGGGACATGGGAGTTTGATCCGATGGAACTAGAAAATCCATTCCCTAACGGGGAAGGGTCCGTTCACATCTGGCAAGGCGATGAAGACGGGCATGTACCAGTCATTCTACAACGATTCATCGCGAAGAAACTACCATGGATTCACTATCATGAAATGAAAGGTGGAGGTCATATGTTTCCATGGGCTGAAGGAATGGGAGATAAAGTTATGAAGACATTTTTACTTGGAGAGCCTTTTGTTATGTAAAAGCTATAAAGGGCTTTTAGTATTGGATTCAATGATCATTTTTGTCATTGAACAAATTTGAATATGTAGTTAATAATTAAATTCTACTTAAGTTGATTTTAGCTATGTCGCTCGAACTCTTAAAACTTATCGTCCTTCTAAAACTATGAATTTTTAAAGAGTTCGAGCAACGGAGGTTCTCGAAACAACCTTGAAGAAAAATAATTAGATTAAAACAATTATTAGAAGAAATTTATGATAAAATATATTTTACGCTACAATATATGTATCTTAACTTATGATGAATTCCGCACTCCCGAAAAATGGTAGCAGAGCAGTCAGGTTTATCCTACTGTGATGGCTCAGCTATGCATGTGAATCTCCGATGTGAAAGTCACGGTGTTACATCCTTGTATACGTTTCCCTCGGAGTAAAAAGTACTGTTGGCATTAGCCAGGTAATATAGCTGAGGGGCCAAGATGATGGTGTAATATTGGATTCATGACTCTTGTCATTGACCAAACTTAAAAATTTGTTGATAATTCAGTCACTTTAATTTGCGATGTAATTTAAACTTGTTCATATTACGCTCTTACCATCAAACCAAAGCCCTAGGACTACTTGAAGACTTGAGATTTGATGAAGTTCTATATTTATAACTTCATGTTCTTGAATTTCCAAGTTAATCTTATGATATATTATCCTAAAAATGCAATGTATTAGCCTTAATAATATTTAATGAGCTTTGCTTTATTATTGGGCAAGAACAGCAATTATAACAACTACTATATGTATAAAGTTTCTGAATATACATCAAGACATGTAATGCACAAATAATCTCTTTTTTTTATTCATCAAAAAAAATTATTGAGCTTACATCATCACTTTAAAGTAAAAAGATATTTATTTAATATTTATATATGTGTAGGGTCAATTTTTAAAAGCAATTGAATTAGGTGACCTAGGGTCATTGGAAAAGATCCAATTATTGGGGTACCATATATAAAAATAATGTGAGTAATTATAATTTCATCTTACCTTCTTCTTTTTTTTTTATAGTGAAAAGCACAAGTATTCAATTTTTTTTGAGTTTTATATTTATATATTTATTATATATCATATGTGAAAATTTTTTTAATATAAATTATTATCAATCATTTATTAAAACACACCTCGATTTTATTTTTCCTACCTAAATGATAAAGATATTTTAGGTTTTAAAAGTGAACAATTGAGAGTTGAGATGTATTTTGATAAATAGTTGGTGATAGTTCAGATAGGAAACTAACAACTTGATAGTTTAAATTTGAAACTTAAAAAATCGATACACTTTAGATGTAGAGGCAAACTCAGGATATAAAAATATCGGAGGTACTACTAAAGGCGGATGCGGATTTGTCGAAGCATCGATACTTCAATAAAAAATATTATCAAAGTATAAAATCGAAGATATATATAAATATAAATCAAACAAAAAATTAACACAGTTCACTCTATGGTTGGATGGTCTTGACCCTCAGTATACACTTTGAAGTTGCTAGTTCGAATTTTGTCTGAGATCTTAAAATATGTCTGAAACCGATATTTATTGATTTAACTATATTCATAGAATAAATATATATATATGTATGTATATGTATATATCTTAATTTGACCTCAATTAATAAGTATTTAGTTTCGAGCTATAATGAACGTCAGAACGTTTTAACTTGATTTGAGTTTACCTTCTAAACAAACAATCCGACATGATATTTTACATAAGTTACATGGAATATCATGCGTTTTTACGGTGTTAACTCAAATCAAATTAAGGTGTCTAGATATGCCCTCTCAAATATGTTCCTCACAGGTTAATTTATATTCCAAAAGTGGCTACTTGTTAAAGTTATTTGATTGATCATGCATGGTGCAATTGTAAAACTTTTTGTTCGGCCCAATTACATATGTTTATGAGCCCATTTGGCCAATTGCCTTATATAGGCCCAGTCCAAATAGTTGTGTGCATTCGATTTTTCGGTTCGATATATATATATATATATATATATATATATATATATATATATATATATATATATATATATATATATATATATATATATCCAAATAAAGTAAATTATAAATTCAAAACCAAACCAAGAATCCAAAAAATTAATTAAATTAGAATTCGATTTGATTTGGTTTGTTTTTTCTGTTTAATCCAAATAGTGCATACCCCTAGTTCTCATATCTAATTTAAGCCCATTAACAACGTCGGTTGTTGAGATATTTTTTTGACTGGTATAATATAAAATGAATTTGAAACAAAACTTGATCGTTATAGTGAAGTATCGTTGTAGTATGATAGAAGATGAATGTTATTAAAAGGTCCGACTGTATTTTAATATCTAGAGTTCATGTAACCACCTTTTTGTTAAGGTAATAAGTATTTTTTCATTCTTAATCAGAGAATTCAAATTCGAAATCTAAAAATAAAATTCTATTTGACTGAAAACTTTTTATCTCAAAAAAGAATTTCTTAATGTAAATTTAAATTAATCGTTACAAAAGGATTTTCAAAAGATGTTGTTTCAATAAAGGAATTTCAAAAGATTTTTCAATAAAGGGATTTCAAAAGATTTTCAAACTCTACTAAACAACTAAGAAATGTTCTCAACATTTCATATAATATCTCATACGTTACGATCACGTTACGTATGGTTTATTATTATTTTTGATTTCTTTCATTAATTTAATAATGGTAGATACAATCGTGTTATTTTTAATATCTTTATCTAATGTCTATACATATCTTTGAATTTTTGGGACTCAACTAATTTGGATATATATTAACGTATGATTCAGTGGATAACCAATTGGATATTTTCGTCGAAAAAAATTACATATACACAAGTAAAATAATATATGAAATAATTAAATAACATATTTTAAACATACTTAACATCACAAGTTGCTATTTCTGAACACCCTTTAAGAAATTTCTGCCTCCGCCGCTGATACGATTTATCATGATTTTTCAATTCTTAGGTCTCAGACATTAAAAATCAAGCTAAGAGTGAAGGTATACTATCCATTTTATCATAATCTTTGACAGTGATATATATATTTTGTTTTGCTTGCCACTTAATATCGGTTACTTGTGTTAAAGACCTGGCTAATTCAAATTCACATTACGTATAGGTCATTTAAAAGAAAAAGATTCGTATAAATATTTTTAAACTCAAAAAATTCGAACCCAATATCTTTCAGCTTATTAAAGGTAAAAAATCATATTTATATTTTTAATGAAAATTCAAGAAAAGATAGCTAACAAATATCGGCTAAATATTTCTGCTGAAAACGAATCAAATAATTGCATTTATAAATTAATGTAAACATGAAAATGTCAAAATATGGTGATTAGGTAGAAATTTTTTAATCTTTGATAATTACTGTTCAACTGCCCAAAGTTGACTAAATAATATCTATTTTTCTTCAAATTCACATTAAGAGTTAAATTGTTGACAAAATGAGAAAGAAGAGAGAAATTAAATTTTAAATTATTGACTAAATGAGAAAGAAGTAGGAAATTAAAGTTAAATTATTGACAAATAGAGAAAAAAAGAGTGATATTAAAGTTAAATAATTGACAAAATGAGAAAAAAGAGAGAAACAAAAGTCTTTGTATCTTTTTTTCTCTTTGAAAACAACTTTTTTTTTTATTCTTTTTCTGTTGTACTTTCTCACGTCATGTGTCTTTTACTTATTTGTTTTTTATATATTTTTTATTTAATTTTCGATATTTATATATTAAGATTCGATTAAATTTAAATTTATTTTAAAAAATTTCCCATTGAGCCAATAAATGCAAGATATATGTCTTTTATTCATATTCTGGTCTTACTAACTCATATTCGTTTATGAAAATCTCGTATGGTGAGAAGTAAAACATTTTTTAACAAATGCGGCTTCAGGTCCAGATAAGAATTAATAATACTTACCACTCAATTCTAATTCTTATATTATTAAGCCACGATTAGATAATATGTATTTTCATTTTAATTTTTTATGCAGTAATTAACATAAATATCGGTTGTGAATAATTTTTTTAGAATTAAAAAAGTTGTATTGCCAATTCAATTCGATTGGAACACACATGTTGAGAATAAAAACAAACACTTAATTGAATATTGACAAAAGAACTTTTAAATTCTTTATTCATTTTTAATGAAATTCTGAAACCATATGTTATATAATTAGTTGATAACCTTACCACATAGACCATTGAAAATTTCTTCATTTTTTTCCTTTAAATTCTTTAAGAGAAGAAAAAAAAAATGAGCAAAAAAATTTCTTCAGCATCAGCCAGGTCTCATACTAGAAAAAATAAACAGATGAAGAGTTCAATTCCACTTCATTCAGGTACTCAATTTTTCAAATTTTTAATTTCTTTTCTATTGGACACATTTATTTTTACGATGATATGATATGAGCGTAAATAAAGAATAAGAATTCATATGGTCGATCTCGACTTGTTTTAGAGAATATTTCATGATATGTTTGTAGCTATTAGAATGACATTTACTTACAATGAATTTCAGAAAGTTGTGATTTTTATTTGAAATTCTTCACATTTGTATAGTTTGGTTATTAATGCTCTTATGTATAATATGAGATATATTGGGTTTGTCTTGGTTGAAAAAATGAGTTAGAGGCGGAGTCAGAATTTTTAATTTTCGATTAAAGGTTAGAGTTTAATCAGAATAATTGTTGTGGCTCCCGTTCATGAAGTGTGTGACCATTTTCTTCTGAAAGGTTAAAGGTTTTAGATAGAGTACATTTTTGTTTACCTAATTATATCTTCAATACGCCTCTCAGGAGCTAATTTTTTTTATGGGTCGAGCACGTGGAATTTTTTTTCTTTTTTGAAAATGTATGGTTGTGAGACTCGATACTAAGATCTATGTTTGTTCTGATCCCATGTGAAGTATGTAACGATCTCGTCTAAATGCTTAAGTTAGAATTTAGCATATCTAGCTTGTAATCTTCTTTAAAAATGTGGTTGAAATTGTTTGAGCTAGCTTGAAATCTTGTTGAAGTCATGAAATTATGTTGGTCGGACTCTTCAAAAATGATGCTACAGCTATATGAGATCCTTAAAAATGCATAGCTATTGTGAGGACCGACACACACCTGGTTGTATTTTTGAAGAGCCCGAGCAACAGAGGCAGAGCAAGTGTGTTCTGTTTTCTTTGTTTTGAAACTTCATTCCAAGCGGTAAAATTTCAGGGATGTTTGGGAAAATTGTAGCAGTCGTCTTTGTGGGGTTCGTGGCATATGCTTATCGAGCAATGCAGCCTCCTCCATCGAAAATTTGTGGCGCCCCTGATGGCCCTCCTGTTACATCACCTAGAGTTAAACTTAGCGATGGACGATACTTAGCTTACAAAGAACATGGTATACCAAGAGATCAAGCAAAACATAAGATTGTGTTCATCCACGGATATGATTCTAACAGACACGATGCTGTTGTTGCAACTGGCCTCTCTCCGGTAACTCTCCTCTCATCCGTTAATTATCTTAACTCCATCTTTATTTCTTAGTAGCTCAGTTGGTTGACTAGCTGAACTTTTTACCTTGTTCATTTTTATAACTTTTTTGTTAGTAAATTGCTGTTTTTCCAGGAGGTTATTGAGAACTTAGGAGTATACATTGTTTCAATTGATAGACCTGGTTATGGAGAAAGTGATCCTAATCCGAAACGAACAGTAAAAAGCTTGGCGTTTGATGTACAAGAACTTGCTGATCAATTAGGGCTCGGGTCCAAATTCTACGTCATTGGATTTTCGATGGGAGGACAAGCTGTTTGGACCTTGCTCAAATATATTCCTCACAGGTACGGACTCAAATTTATGCTTCACGTTAAAAGTACTGAGTTCACATGAGCTCGGTGTTGTAATGTTGTGTCTGGTTTGTATAAGCTCGGTTGTGTGATATGTAACAGATTGGCTGGAGCAGCTCTTCTAGCACCTGTTACCAATTACTGGTGGCCTAACTTCCCCGCGAACTTGTCCAAGGAAGCGTTCAACCAACAGCTTCCTCAGGATATATGGAATCTTCGCGTTGCTCACTACCTTCCGTGGCTTACATACTCGTGGAACACACAGAAGTTTTTCCCTGCTTGTAGTGCTGCTGCTTACAACCCCGGTGCTCTTTCGTCTCAGGACCTAGAACTAATGCCCAAGTATCGCGCCAACAGAGATCTTTATGTAAGTGTTCTTCTCTTGAGATCATACCTCTTGTTACATTTAGCTGTTTCTCGTTCATATCGTTGACACAAGTGCAATGAAGGTCACGAACCTAAGCCAATCGCCTCTATGATATATCACCATTGACCCGTCCATGTAGGTTTGTGATACTTGTCTACATGCTTTGATTGGAGGTAGTCAGTTGAACACCCTTACTGTGTATAGATCAATAAACTTACTTTTTACCTATATATCTTTTATCTTATATACTCTTAACGAAATTTCTTGCACCCTCAGGCTCAGGTGAGACAACAAGGACTACACGAGTCACTCTATCGCGACCTTATGATTGGGTTTGGGACATGGGAATTCGACCCTATGGATTTGGAAAATCCGTTTCATAACAAAGAAGGCTCAGTACAGTTGTGGCAAGGGGACGAGGACAAGCTCGTCCCTGTAACTCTGCAACGGTACATTGCTCAACGACAACCATGGATTCAATATCATGAAATCGCGGGGGCTGGTCATATGTTTCCAGTTCTTGATGGAATGGCAGACAAAATCGTGAAAGCTCTTCTGATCGGAGAGAAAAACATGACGTGAGAGTTTCATACACTAGGTTGTTTTTGTCGCGTTACACTACTATGCATATCATTTTTAATACATCGATTGTACTTTGAGTATACCTTTCATACAACTAGTTTGTCGCATTACACTATGCACATCATTTTTCATAGCTATGCTATTCTGGCTCTTCAAACATGCTGACAGGTGCACGTCGAATTATACAAAAGTAGTACGTTTTTTAGATGGTGTGACGATATCTTTTAGAGAGTTTGATTGATGTAAACGACTAGTCATTTTTGTAATAAAGGAATGTTAATTTTTATTGACTATTTTCAATGGTTTATTTTGTGAGGATTGATGTTTTGTGGCTTTATCTTTGTCCCATTGTTTTTAAATACTAGTGTCTATAACTTCACCTTGTAAAAACTACATATTTATGTTTTTTTTTATTTTTCTATTAATTTAATTAACAAATACATTTCTTTTTTTGGATAAACAAAACTATTAAATTATTTATTTTGCAAACTTTTTATTTATAATAGCTAAATAAAATCTAAACTTATGATAACAATATACAACATCACATCACTATAGAACCTATGAAATTTTCAGACAAAAACTAATACTTATTACCAAAAAAAATAAAAAATAATCACTAATAAAAATAAAATAAAAATAACTAAAAATTACATGTCCAAATCTTCTCGTGTAACAATACCAAATATTAATAATATCGTTGGGATTAATACACAAAATTGGTGATAGTAATAAAAATTGGGTGGGGTCATCATATGTCAAAAATAAATAAATAAATAAAAGTAGATGAGCTGAGACACAGATCTACTCAGTGTTCCTTTTTGTAAAATTTTAGAGTGTAAATTACAGAATTTGTAATTTCAAAATCAAGAATTTGCTACAGCTGAAAAAAAAATGGCAGGTGGGTCAACAAGGAAAATTTCAGCAGCTTCAGCTAGGGCTCATACTCGTAAAGCTAAGCAAAAGACTTCTTTCCCTCTTCCTTTTGGTGGGTTTTTCATATTTTTTCAATTTTATTTTATCATATGTTGAAAATATTGTGAAGAATTGAATTTTTATTATGTAAAGTTGATAACTTTGTTTAATTAGAAGTCTCGGGTTTGAGCTGAGGTTCAGATATGTCTTTGTTATAGCTCTGATGTGGGATTTCTTGGCGCGAATATGGGTTTAGTTGGGTTGGATTCTAATACGGGTATCGGACACTTGGTTGAGACCAAAAGCAAAAGTTGATAACTTTGTTTAATTAGAGATGTCGGGTTTGAGCTAAGGTAGAGAGTTGTCTTGGTTAGGGAGTGTATTAGCTCTAATGTGGGATTTCTTGGCACGAATGTGGGTTTAGTTGGGTTGGGTCCTAATTCGGATTTCGGACACTTGGTTGAGAAACCAAAAATAAAAGTTGATTACTTTTTTAAGTAGACGTCTCGGATTTGAGCTGAGATAGGAAGTTTCCTTTTGTTAGGGAGTATGTTAGCTCTAATGTGGGATTTCTTGGCCCGAATATGGGTTTAGTTGGGTTGGGTCCTAATTCGGGTTTCAAATACTTGGTTGAGAAACCAAAAACAAAAGTTGATTACTTTCTTAGCTAGACGTATCAGATTTGAGCTGAGGTAGGAAGTTGCCTTTGTTAGGAAATATCTTAGCTCTAATGTGGGATTTCTTGGCGTGAATATGGATTTAGTTGGGTTGAGTCCTAATTCGGGTTTCAGTCACTTGGTTGAGAAACCAAAAACAAAAGTTGATAACTTTTTTAACTAGAGGTCTTGGGTTTGAGCTGGAGTAAGGAGTTGCCATTGTTAAATAGTATTTTTTCACTCAATGTAGGACTTTCTTGATTTAGGTGGGTTGGGTCTCAATGCAGGCACCGGACACTAGGTTGAGAAATAGAAGTTGATAACTTTCTTAACTAGAGGTGTCGGGCTTGAGCCAGAGTAAGGAGTTGTCATTGTTAAAGATTATTTTTTTCACTCGATGTAGGAATTTCTGCATTTAGGTGGGTTGGATCTCAATGCAGGTACCGTACACCGGGTTGAGAAACCAAAAACAAAAGTTGATAACTTTGTTAGATTTGGTGGGAAGTTTTTATTTTGCTTATGATTTTGATAGTTTTTCTCACATTTGGATGAGTTTGTTATGTGAATTGATAACTTTCTTAACCAAATGTGTCGGGTTCGAGCCGGGGTAACGAGTCGTCCTTGTTAGAGGGAGCATTTTATCCCCCAATGTAAGACTTCTTCCCAGCACAAATCCGGATTTAGTCAAGTCAGATGATACTGGTTTGGGAAACCAAAAACAGAAGTTGATAACTTTGTTGCATTTGGTGGGAAGTTTTGATTTTTGATTAGGGCAGCCGTTGTTTAGAGAGCATTTTATCCCCAATGTAGAATTTTCCAGTGCAAATTTGCATTTTGTTGGGTATCAATGCGGAAATTTAGGTAGAAAAACACGCCTGGAGCATTACGTTTAATATCTTTAAAGCTCATTGAACTAATGGGACTTATAGAAAAGAAAACATGCATATCAAGAATAGTAAAGCAACACAAAGTTATTGTGTTGGTGTAAAAATTCAAAATAGAAGTTTCAATACTATAAATATTCAGCAAACAAAATTTACTAGTTCTTTGCTCAGTTTTCCCTTTTTATTAAATAGCAGTTGAACAAGCTTATGCTATACAAATACATAAATTATTTTATATGACATAAGTTTATTAAATTTTTTGTTTATTTGCGGGTGCATGTTTACTTGGCATATTTGTTTTTATTTTTGATGTTTCCTAAGGGAAGGTTCTTGTTCATCAAAAAACGTTTCTTGATTTCTGTTCTTGTTTTCTTGAAATCTTTCCATTTTCAGGAATGATGAGAAATATGATAGCCCTTTTTGGAATAGTGATATTGGCACTGATTTATAGGGCAATTATGCCTCCACCACCGAAGATTTGTGGTTCATCAAATGGACCTCTAATTACAGCACCAAGAGTGAAGCTTTCTGATGGGAGATATTTGGCATATAAAGAAAATGGTGTTCCTAGAGACCAAGCAAAACACAAATTTGTTTTCATCCATGGCTTTGATTGTGTCAGACATGATGTTGCTTTGCTCACAACTACTTCTCCTGTATGTATGTTTCATCTTTACTTGTTCATCCCCCCGCCCCCTCCCTTAGAATAGCTTTTAGTTTCTCCTTCGTTTTGTTTGTGTCCGATATTTGTTTTGAGGTCCGACTAATTTGAATTTGTGTTGGGAGGTTTCATTTTTAAGGCTTCTCCGACCAATGATTACTCTATTTTCAGAGTTCAAATCCCAAGATTGTCGTGATTCTAGTCAAGGATTAAGAGATACTTTCGAAGGTTGTTTTAGTGTTCATCTTGGTTTCTCATCCGGAGTCTGGAATCTGTTGGAGCCCAATTATTATGTATTCGTGTCCAGAAGTCCTAGTTTTAAGGCTCCTGACCCAATGCAACTACATTTTCAGAGCTTGAACCTTAGATCTGTGGTTAACGATTGAGTGGTACTTATAAGTGTTGTTTTTAGTATTCTTTTTAGTTTCCCACCTGGTGTCCAACATCCGATTTGGAGCATGACTAATCCGAATTCACATTGGGAAGTCCCACTTTGAGGGTTAAGGCTCCTGACAACAGCGACTTTATTTCTAGAGCTCGGATCTGGAACTTGATTAAGGATGGAGGGACACTTACCGTCTGCTCGAGTATATTTGTGGTTGCAATTAATGAAATTTTCTTTGTGGTTGCAGGAGCTTATGCAAAGTTTGGGAATATATATTGTGTCAATTGATAGACCTGGTTATGGTGAAAGTGATCCTCATCCAAAAAGAACGCCAAAGACTTTAGCTCTTGATATAGAGGAATTAGCTGATCAATTGGAATTAGGATCTAAGTTTTATGTTATCGGATTTTCTATGGGTGGACAAGCTGTTTGGGGCCTTCTCAAGTATATTCCTCACAGGTACTTTTAGTTTGCTCGCACCTCGACTATTTTAACTATGTACCTGTTACGTCCCACCAGCATAAATACGAGTACCTTTGATCTACCAATTCTTAAGCAGATGAGAAGAAGTCATTTTATGAATTGGCTTGATTGTTCCTCTTAGTATAAATTGAATCTTCAGTGAAAGTAGTTTAGTTCTTTGGATTTAACTTATAGACACTGACGATGCTAATGACTTTTACATTATCAGTTTACGTTAATTTGTCGTAGTTATCTTTTAGGTGACCTTCTCGGGTGCACATAGGTTTCCATCTTAACTAGTGACATTTGAAATGTGTAACAGATTGGCTGGAGCAATTCTTCTAACACCCGTAACTAACTACTGGTGGGGTAGTTTTCCTGCAAACTTGACTAAACAAGCGTACTACGAACAGCTTGTGCAGGATCAATGGACGCTTCGCATCGCACACTATTTTCCATGGCTGACTTACTGGTGGAACACTCAAAAATTATTTCCTTCTTCCAGCGTTGCAACGGGCAGCGAGGATATTCTTTTAGAACAAGACAGAGTTCTTATGCCTATCTTTGATTCATATCAGAGTAAATATCGGGTGAGCACTCGTCTGTCTTCTTCACATATCCACATTTCATTTTGCAAATTTGGATAAACACCATGCTTCAACATCAATCCTTATATACGTAAATGAAAAAATAAGGACAAATAGTGTTACAAGTACGTTTTCTGCATCATTATCGACTGTAGGATAGAGTCATAACTTGTTATAACTAGTTAAATTACGCTAATAGAATTGTGTATAACTTAATTCCACAATCATATGTGTTGATTTTGATTAGCAAATTGTTTGAGTTAACTCTCCTAAATCTTGTGCTTGCATTATGAATACTAGCAACTAACAAGTACTTAACTCTGAGTTCTGTTCTGTTTTTCTTTAGGACTTGGTAAGACAGCAAGGGGAGTACGAGTCCATCCATCGCGACCTAATGATAGGTTTCGGGACATGGGAATTTGATCCGATGGAACTAGAAAACCCATTCCATAACGGGGAAGGGTCCGTTCACATCTGGCAAGGCGATGAAGACGGGCATGTACCAGTCATTCTACAACGATTCATCGCGAAGAAACTACCATGGATTCACTATCATGAAATGAAAGGTGGAGGTCATATGTTTCCATGGGCTGAAGGAATGGGAGATAAAGTTATGAAGACATTTTTACTTGGAGAGCCTTTTGTTATGTAAAAGCTAAAAAGGGGCTATTGGTTTTAGTATTGGATTCAACGATCATTTTTTGTCATTGAACAAATTTGAATATTTTGTTGATAATTATATCCCACGTAAGTCGTTGGGACTCT